TATATATATATATCACTTTGACTATATATATATATATATATATATATATGTATATATATATATATATATATTTAAAAATTTATAATATTATTTCCTTTATTTTAAAGCAGATAATAAAGATAAAATTTGATAATTTTGAGTAGATTCTAAGACATATAAGGAACTCATACATAGAAAATTAGAAATAAATGTACTACATTCTAGAAAAGATCTGTGCATTTCATTTCACGAATATACACAATGCTTCAAGAAATTTTACTCATTAACTTTAAAGCTAATTATGTGTTTATTTATACATAAAAACTAATTAAATAACACAATATACTTTACATTTTACAAAAACTCCTTTCAGTAACTTCATTATTATGCAATTCTTCATACTTTTAGAAGGCAAAAATATAACGGAAATAGTTATTCTCCTAACCATTTCTTTTACTAACCTCTTTGGTAGTGTAATCAAGCAATATTTTTTATACTAGCAATATATCAAGCAATATGTTTATTCTAATTATCAAGCAATATATTTATACTAATTTCCTTGACAAAAAAAAAAATAAAGAATATGCTCAAAAAAATAAAAAAATATCAAAATACATAATGAAAAAAATTAATATGTAGAAATAATTTGATAAGTTATGTCTTACATTGTTAGTGAACCTGCTTTTATCTAGATAGAAACCTGGGACTCAGTTTCTAGGCAGCATGCTCATACATATTCTTCTAAAATATAAAATTACATTACATTTTTAACATGATCAAAAAAATAAATAACAATAAGACAAATTTATTAGATACTTATATATTAGGAAATCATTACCCAATATTTAATTAATTTTTGCAACACTATGCCCAGGCAAATCCAAGTGCTGTACAAGTTAATTTTTACTTCTAAGTCACCTCTGTCCCCTAACAGTCACAACTGTCTCTTAATCATAAAAAAATAGTAACCATAGAAAAATTATAAATTAATCAAACTAAAATAGAGAATAGTAAAAATAAGTTTTAATGTTATTTATATGGATCAAGCTTATTAATATGGAATTCTAGCTTTTAATATGTTAAACAAGACCAGCATAAATTATGCACAATTTCAATTAATAAAATAAATATATTCAAAAAATAATTAAACATTTTAAATGGATAGTACAATTTTCAGTAGTATTCGCCAAGTCCTGTCACCTTTCACTGCGAGAAACTAAAATAATCATCACATAAAGGGACCAACTTGAAAGATATAACTCACAGCCACCTTTGGGCAAACATTTTAAAAAATTGCAAGTTTAAAATCTGTTTGGCATCTTGGCGATTGTATTTGACACGACAGATCATGATACGGAAAAATCTCTACGAGATTTAACACTATCACATATCTTGAAAGCAAATTTGAATGTTGACATTAATATTTTGGCCACCTAGCAAAAGAAACTTAAATACAATAACTAGTTAGTTGTTAGCTTAGTTAATAAATTTTTCCAATTGACTTTGAGGTTTTATTATTCTTTATGCGTAATATGGCCTAATGCAATAAGTTAATATGGCTTAATAAGTTAATATGGCATAATATGGCTTAATGCAATTAATTGTAAATACTTACAAAATAGAATTACTTAATCTAAGACAGCACTCTCTTTACTAAAGGGATAAAGTTAGAAGTATCCTTTTTAATAGTCATTAACACATTTAATTTAAAGTGTCTTTTGAAAATATTTTATGCCACATTGCCTTCATAGGAAATCATACAGGGAATGTTTTAAGTTTTTAAATATTAGCATGTTTAATTATTAATCTTCCAATTAAAATTTAAAAAAGTTTTCGAACAGAGCAATATTTTTCTCGCCTATTCTTGAAACCCGACAAAGGGGAACATCCCCACTTTGACTAAATAAAAATATATTATCAATTATAATATAACAAACAATATATATAAATAACACAACTTATAAATAACTCATACCTTTTAGCGTCAAACTAATGATATTCTGTTACATAAATTAAATCCTTAGATCATTCTAATTAACTTTTTATCACAATTTAAATATGGGTTTCTGTCTTCAACAATTGCATTCGGCACTTCTATAAGTAAAAAGAAAACTATGTTTAAATTTCATAAAACTGGAAGTATAGAACTTGTAAATTCTTATGCAGCTTGAATATTTTATAAACTGAAACTTTGCAAGAGAGAAACTTGAACTTACAATTGCGTAATGCATATTCATTATTAGTATTTACTATTGAGTTTTAAATTGAAACCGAAACTAATGTTGGCTACTGCCAAAATAACAATATCAAATTAACGGTTTTTATTTTTAAAATTAATATTGGTCACATTTTGTGAAATACGTAACATATAGTAAAGGAAGTACGATAAAATTCTTTATAAACTACAAATTTAATAAAATTTTTTAGTTCTTTCTAGCCTATCAACTTATTATGGTTTATTGCAAAATCCCCTTTTCTTTAAAAAGTATTTCATTGTAACAGAAACAGGCATACGGAAGTGTCAAATAAAATATATAACCAAAACAAAAATCTTTCTGTCATCTTTTCTTCATGATTCTAGATCTGTAAAACTAATATCATACTTTATTAAAACAATTTATATTTAGTTCTACATTCAAAAATGTTAATTAATAAAGTATTCCTTAACAATTTCAATAAAATCCGTTTGTTCAGAACTGGATATTCTAATTTTCCTCGTTACTTTCAAAATTCTAAGCAATGTAAAAACTATCACCAAGAAAGAAATAATCGTTATGAAGTTCTCATAGTTCCAGCTTTAAGCGATAATTTCATGTATATATTAGCCGATTATTGTTCAAAATCGGCAATCGCAGTTGACCCAGTGGAACCAGAAAAAGTTTTTCGTGTCTTAGATTCAAAAAACATTTCTCTTAAAGCTGTCCTTACCACACATCATCACTTAGATCACGATGGAGGAAATGAAACAATCGCCACATGTTCAAAAAATACACCAATTTACGGTGGTGACAAAAGAATAAAGGCTATGACGCACATACTATCACATTCAGAAGAATTCCATATTGGAGAACTGAATATAAAGTGTTTACATACCCCTTGTCACACTAGTGGTCATGTGTGTTATTTTACAGAAGCTGGCAACTTAGGTCATATATGTTTCACTGGGGATACTTTATTTGTTGGAGGGTGTGGTAGATTTTTCGAAGGTACGGCAGCTCATATGCTAAAGTCATTGAATATCTTGGGGTCATTACCATTAAATACTAAAATTTATTGTGGTCATGAATACACTATGAGTAACTTGAAATTTGCATTATCTGTAGAGCCTGATAATAAAGATGCTTTAACTAAACTGAAAGTGATTGAAGAAAAATTAAAGAAAGGAGAGCATTCTGTACCATCCTGTATTGAAGATGAGTTGAAATATAATCCATTTATGAGGACAAGTGAAAAGTCTGTACAGCAATATACTAATCAAGCTGATCCTATTTCAGTAATGAAAGTTCTTAGAGAAAAGAAAGATGCATTTAAATAAAAAAAATGAAGATCAATTTATACAATGAAGAAAAATATATATAAATATGTATTCAAATGAAATTATTTTAATGTTTGTTGTACAATTATATAATTTTTCATAAAAACTATAAATCCTCAGAAATATTGTTTTGACTTATTTAATAATTTTGATCCCATTGTTACATGATTGCTGTTGGCATTGAACTAATTAAAATTAGTTAAAAGAAATTACTAAAAAAGGGTCTGTACAAGGGCTATAAGAATTCAAAAAAAATGTTTGTGGCAAGCAAAAAAAATATGGTTGTCAGTAAAAATACTTGTATCCTTTCCAACCCATTGCTAAATCTTTCTTTAAAATTTTAAGATACATTTTGCTATTTAACTTAAATAATATTAAATTAGGTACATTTTCATAATATAAAATTAAGATATTAAGCCACGAAAATCTCAACTCTCATGGGTGAGTGATTATCTTCTGATTTTGCATTTCATTTAGGATTCTTGTAAAAGCTTTGGATTACCATATTGCTTTTAAAATTCTGAAATTTTTAATACAATAATATTAAAGCAAGATAGTTTTACATGACAATCAGGAATTCATTTGATCTTATTATTCTTTTTCAGCAAATATATCCATGGATTTCTTCTTAAAATTTGAAATTATATTTTTAATTTGATTTTATTGCAACTTACTCACATGAGTTATCTCACATTGAGAATTTAACGTTTGAATAATCACTTTTTGATACTCTACCACACTCTCTCAATTTCCCACAATTCTGAAATAAGTATGTGCAGTTTTTCAGCCAGAGCTTCAAATTATTTTGATACAATGGATTATTGGTGAAAATTTTAACTTATTAAGAATAAATTATTAAATTTAAACAAAATTATTAATGTAAATATCTAAAATTTAGCTACACTTACTAAGAAACCTCTGTTTAAAAACACAATACAAAAATTATTTAGAAACCAATTCCTTAATAGGCCCCATTAAAAAATCTAAATTGTGCATTTTAATGATAAGTTAGTGTGAGTAGTATATTTTCCTTTTGCATTGTTGAATGAGACAAAAGACAGACATTTGGGACCCATAACAGAGAAAGGGAGAAGAGAAATTTAAACATTGCTATCTCAATGTTCATAGTTGTCCCGATTTTTGGGTATTTTTAGACCATCCAATTTTCTATGAATACAATAGTGGGTTTTAAAAGAATTAGTTTGAAGAATTTTACTAGCCTTTTTTTTTTTTTTTAAACTAACAATTTTCCAAGCAAGTACTATTTAAAATGTTATTCCCAACCAGATAAGATCAGTTAAATCATTAAACATGTACAAAATTCTGTTGGGGAAAAAATTTAATAAAATTAGTCTAAAGTTCAAACAAACAAAAATGTTCAAATTTTATATTGCTTTTTCTATTATGTAATTCATATTTCTGATAAATCATTTAAAATTTTTTATCCTTTTGAAGAAATAAAATACTAATGGTAGGCTGTAACTGTTGCAAAATTTGTTTTACTAAATTGAAATATAATTATTTACATCCAGACTTGGATAAAATGAAAAACTTTCTGCATGCATCAATTAACTCTTCAACCTTTTCATCACCGCTTCGTTTTGGCGAAATTTGTTTGAAAATCAGATTTTAAAAACATTTACTTTTTATAAAACTCCAATATTGATTCATACCACAGGAATGAGTTTGGTAAAAAAGCTGTAAATAGAAATCCAAAAATATCATGAGGAAAAATAATTTTAAAATGATTGAAAAAGTACTGTATAAAGGAAGCATTTATCAAAGAATGTTATCAAAAAAATATTGATGCGATATTTTATTAAAATTTTATAAGTATGAATCTCAATGTGTAATTTTTAAATCACACAAATATGAATTCAGACATTTAATTTCAAAATTGAATGAAAATTTTAAAATTGAGTTGATACTAATCTCGATGTTTGATTTTAAAATCGCATTAATACAAATCTCAATGTTTACTTTAAAAATTACATGAATATGAATTCTGATATATAACTTTTAAGCCACTCAAATACGAATCATAAAAGTGGCTTCTGAAATGCAATATTTGATATAAAATCATAAAAATACAAAACACTATGTGCAATCTTAAATCATGTAAATAGGAATAGTGACGTGAGTGTTTAAATCATGTGAATGTAATTTTAAGTTGCGTTTGCACTGGTAGGAAAAAGCATAAAAATATTTTTTTTCTCGGGAATTCGAAAAATAAAATTTTTTTTTTAAGAGGAAAATTTGTTTTAGTAAGAACAAAATACAGTGTCAGAACGTACACAGAAATTTTACTTATTGTATATTATGCAGGCCTGTTTAACAACCTCATAAAAATAAGTGTGAGGTTTTAAAAGAAACTTTAAAAAAAAGCTCTAAAACAAAGTTATAATCAGGGTAATAAGAAAAAAAAGTGATATTCTAACTATTTTATTATAGATTTATTAGAAGGTAAGCTAATAATTTCTTGCCTTATTTTATATACCACTCTCTAATTTCAAATAAAAGTCATGCAAGCATACTCAAACTAATATTGTTTAGTTGTGTTAAAATTAGAGTGAAAGTAAAATAAATTCTGTTACATTAAACATACCCATATGTATGTGACCATTTTGTTATTTTCCTTGATTAATAAGTACTCTTAAAAATGTCACTTACTGCTTCATTCACTAAACTCTTCATATAATTATGTACTAAAAAATATGGAACCAAAACCATTTAAGAAAATATTTTATTTACATTAAAGTTGCCAGCAAATATATTCTATTAATATTTAATATCTTTTTTTTTTTTTGCAGAAATGAAGATATTTATGATTTATCACAAACACACAATTTCCTCACAAAGGAAAATTTCATTTATGGTAAAAGAGAAAGTGTTTTAAAACAATAATATATTTCAGGATAATTAGAATTTATTTATACACAGTAAATTTTTTTTTAAAAATAAAGAAAACAACTGTAGGCATACATTTGATTTCCAATTTGCATCACAAAAAACAATAATGTACAATGATATTCAACTGTAGTTGCAAAAGAGAATCGTAAAAAAAAAAATTTCAATTATAAATACAAAAAATTATCTTCTATCTAATTGCTTTCTGAATGTCTTTAATAAGTTGTTGAGCAGCCTGATTATTTATAAATAATAACTGACCACATGGCATAAAAGTATTGACAACCACTGATATAACATCTGCTTTTTGAACAATCTCGGAATGTGACAAAGTTATCTTTGGCAAAAGATCTTTTATCGTTTTTATAAGAAAAAACAAAGTACTGGCTGCTAATATCCGGTTATCAGTTTGATCACATACTAGAATATACAAACAGCCATAATATGAATGCCAAACTATCTGTTTTTCAACATTCTTCAGTTTTAAATTAAAAATTCCTTTTGTTTCAATATCAACAATATAAGCTTCGGAGAAATCGTCAAAGTTATTACTTGATACAGATGTATTAAACTCAAACTCCTTTTTAACTCGTTGAGCAAAATATTTAATTTGTTTTTCACGATCATCAGGATCCTCTAAAAAATTAAAAACAGATGAAAACAATACTTGGGAGTTAGTTTCAGCAATTATAAAAGAATGGACCATTTTTAAAACATCTATATAGGATTCTAAGAATAAGAAATTGAAGTTTCTTATTACTGGTTAAGCAGACAACCAACGTTATAAATAAATACCATGTGACTATAATTAGAAGATTGCCAAAACTTTATCATAAATTCCATAAAAAAGAAACAAACAAATAAATTCACATCTAAATTTTCAGCTAAATGCTTATTAGATTAGAAAATTGCAAAATTTTGACCATTTATAATTTTTAATTGCTCATATTTTCCTTTCAATTAAAAATAAAATGCTCGAAAATTTGATTTTTTATTTTTGGCAACATTGTTTTAATGAAAGCGTCTCTCATCTCCCGGAATAATAAACCGTCTGCTTACTACTTGATTGAAAGCAATAAATAAAAAACAGGCCAACTATTAAAATTTTTTACATTGTTTAAAATTGTTTCATAAAACTTCAAAGTATGGCTATGCGAACGTTTGGGGAAAAACCTATAGCATTTCAATTAGAAGAAAATGGAGAGTATTATTACATCGGATCAGAAGTAAATATATTTTGAGTAAATAATTTAGCGTCTGGGGTTACATTTTGCTATATGTTTCATGAAGCTTTGATTTAAAAGAGATAAATTATTTTATTTTACTTTCATAAATCAGTGTGTTAAAGTTAAATACATGCTCTGAAGTTTCCTAGAGAGTGTTATAATGAGAGGTATCCTCTATTCTGTGTGATGTCTATCAACTAATAACCTCTTTTTATAATAGGTTTTAATCATTTTTCTTGTATCCCACTAATCATTGGAATTATTAGTTGTACAAGAACTTCAAATCTAATTAGGTTATTTTTGCATACTTCCAACATTTCATAATAAGCCTTGGAGTGAAAATAGTGTTAGAAATATGCATCATGCTCTGAAGTCTGTGCTGCGGTTTTTTATTTATAAAAAATTTGAATTCTTTATTTTGAAATTAAGGGACATTTCCGTGTCGTGATCTGCAACGCCAACTACAATCGTCAATTGTTATTAAATCGGAAAAATTATTTAAAAAAACATGTAGAGGTTAGCCCTGGGATGGCTTCAAGTTGGTCTTGTTTATTGTTTACATTATTATTTTGGTTGATTCATTTTTTACATCATTATTTTTTAATGCATGTTTGCATATAAAACAGCCATTTTAAATTCTTCAAACTGATGAACATCAAAAACTATCAGAGCAAGATAAGAAGATTAAATATCATTAAAAGAGATTCAAAGTAGAGTTGACACAAACTCTGAAGTATTCAATTATATATTTTATCTATAAACTACATTTTATGCAGTTACTATATGAAGGAGGGGTAAACAGCATTATGCCAAAATAATAAAAACATTAAAAAAAAAAACTCATATGACTTAAAAAACTACATTAATAACTAATTAAATATGTTTTGATAGTTATTGAAATGCTTTTTTCAAGTTGCAATTTTCGAAATACTAGAAAATTTTTGGTGACTGTATAAGAAAAAAAAGCTCAAATTTTACACGATAACAAGTTCCTATTAAAAATTTATTACTTTTACTTTTTAAAATTTACTTTTCAATTATTTCTAAAATCAAAGAAAATATATTGAATTTATTCTTATTTAAATATAAAATTTAATGTTTTTATTCATTATTAATGAATTTCATCAAGTAAGATGTTAAGAAATATTTTGCTAATTATTTGTCATTTAGCTATAATTATGATTTAATAACTTAACTATTTATGTTTAGTATATACCTTAAAAAATTCAAGCTAATGTCAAGAAATGCTATTACCAATGAATTTTTTGCTACTAACTATGACCTATTTTGTCATAATTTCGATGACTGCAATTTTATTTTTAAGGATAAGCCTTTCTGTTTCTTAAAGTAAATGATCTTTGATTATGTTTTCTACTAAAATTAAGGCTTTTTATACTCTTAAATTAATAGATTTTTAAATTTTCATATCATTAACAAGTGTGTATTCACAGGTTGGAAATTACTTGCGTATGTTTAGAGGCTCATTGTATAAGCGATATCCTTCTTTATGGCGTCGCTTAGTCACTGTTGATGAAAGAAGAAAAATTGCATCTCTTGGTATGTTATTTATTGATACTTATTTTCTTGTTACTAAAATTTATATATTTTGAAATGCATTTAACATTTGAAGTATGTAATAGTTATATTTGTGTTGAATATTTAAATTTATTCTAATAAACAGAGATAGTACAACCTCAGAACTTAAAAGCAATAACTATATATTGTTAACAATATTTATTACTTTAACAATAATTATTTATTAAAAACCTTAAATCTACAAAAATAAAAAAGCTTTTTCATTCAGATGTAAGTTTTTAATATTTATTTAGTAAAAAAAAAATTGAGTAGTAGCCATGACTATTTGCCTTAACCTAGACCTGCTCATTAAATGTTATACTGATCCTTTTTTTTTTATTTAATAATTAATCATTACCATCTAACTTTTTTTCTCCTTTTTAGTTGCCATGATAATTAAAAAATTTCATTAAAGATATACGGGTGTTCATTTGAAAATTTGACACTGACTGCTTTTTTTTTTTTTTAGTTTTTTAAAAATCACTGAAACATATTGATTTCATTTTGGATTGAGATATTTAAAAACCCACTGTAATTAGTTTGTGAACTTTTACCCCTCTTCTAAAAAAGTATGGTTGTTATTCACAAGATTAAATGTTTTTTGCTTGCTATTCAGTGATGGTCGTAAGATTGGCAACTAATTTAGAAGAATGAATTCTTTTTCTTTTCTATCAAAATGCAGATTTATATCTTCAGTAGCAAATCTTAAAACATGTACAGTAGAGAACCAATTATCCGGGATGATCGGGACCATCGCTATCCCGGATATCTGAATTTCCCGGTTTTCTGGATCGACCAAAACGTGTCGTTAATCGATGTTTTATCGAACCCGAAGTACAAGGAAAAAGTGTAATGCATAAAGTAAGAGAAAAAAGAAAGGTACTCCTAACTTTATAATGGATGGTTGGNCATATCGATTTCATTTTGGAGGGAGATATTTAAAAACCCACTGTAATTAGTTTGTGAACTTTTACCCCTCTTCTAAAGAAGTATGGTTGTTATTCACAAGATTAAATGTTTTTTGCTTGCTATTCAGTGATGGTCGTAAGATTGGCAACTAATTTAGAAGAATGAATTCTTTTTCTTTTCTATCAAAATGCAGATTTATATCTTGAGTAGCAAATCTTAAAACATGTATTAGAGGATTATTTCGAACATACATTTATTCAACAAATATGTGTTAGGCATTCTCAATCATTTGATTTTGGTTGAGAAATAATAGATTTTATAATCAATTGTTATTAAATTCTATCTGTAATAATCTAAAAATAGAAATTTGAGATTCTGATCAGACTAGCTATATACTAATATTCTTACCTCATAAAATTGCACTGAATTATTTTTAACTTTTTTAATGATGATTTAACCTTATTCTAGTTAATAAAGCTTTTTATATTCTTGACTAAATGAATTTAATTAGTCTTTAAAATAAATTTCATTAAAATTGTATGTTTTGACAATAGTTTATTTAGCTGGAATGTCTGCTTGTGATCTCGTAGATCCAGTAAAAATTACATAAATTATTCATTTTAGAAGTTGTATTTTTGAATGTTTGGTCCATGAAAGTTATGAAAGCTCGAGTTTCTCTTTTATGCAAAGTTTTACAATTTCAATTTTTCTTCTTATATTTGTTTTTATTTTACGCTATTCATAATATATTGTATATAAAATTACTCGTGGTACTCATAATTAATGCGAAATCCAAATTATTATTTCCATGACAGATCCTAGAAGCAAGGAAAATTCTTAAAATATTTTTTTGTGCAATATATATATATAGACACACACACCTTATTTGAGTAGCATACATTAAGTCATTGTATGAAGACAAAATATAATAATTTTCACCATTAATTCTGTACCAATAAGTGATGACCACAAATTTGTTGAGATTGGAAAGACTTTTCAGAAAACAAAAATTTAATTATCAATTCAGATCATTTTAGTTAAAGCATTTTTATCTTCTAATTTCACTATGGCAGAAGTTTTTCGAGATTTCTGCAACGATTCTTCCTAACACCATTACCTTCCTGAAAGACATTTTTAATAGTAACAAATATCTATGTTGCTAATTTAAAGTAACAGAAGACCATTGTGTTTACAAAAAAAGAAAAAAGCTTTTATGACAAATAAAATAATTAATAAAGCTGTATTTTTTTTTAATAATGAATATAATATTTTTTTTTAAAATAAAAGAATACATATTCTAATGTTATGGTTGATATTATCCTGTTTTGACAGTGGTGTAACTTACCAATCATTTCCTTTTTCGCCTTTTGTAAATCCTCATCACAATAATAATAAGAAACTGAAAGGGTGATGGCAATCATGGCAGTAACTACCGAAAAAAGATCAGTGGCGAAATCACGCAATTCATTAGTCCTGAAAAAGGGTTACTCAAATGAGTGTTTCATTTAGAGATTTGCTTTTCATTACTCATAATATCGTACTCATACTAAAAATATATTATTTTAAGAACTTTGAGGAAATCATTAGCAATAACTGCCAAAAAATTGATTGAAAAAAACGATAGAATTGTTGCATCAAAAAGTAAATATTCTAATGCATGACTCGCGAAAAAAAATCATAAGAATATCAATAGTAATAACGGAGTAATCAAAGACCTTAGAATTTTAAAAACCGAATTAAAATTCATAGCAATAATTACCAAAAAAGATCAAAACACTGCCTATATTTTCGATGAAATCAACCTGAGCTGTGGACGATACAATAAAGACTCAAAAGCATGATTTAAAATTCAAGTGAGCTAATGTCATATTTAAAGTATTGAATAGATTTTATTTCAACCAAATAAAATAATGAAAGGCAAATGTATCTCAATGATTTATTAATTCTTTTGCTACAAATCTGAATTTGTAACGAAATCTCCACTCTCAGTCATATTTAATCAAAATGTAAAAAGAAATTTTCTAAAAAAGATATTTCTAAGTTAACTATTTTTCACTTTTGTTAACTAATCTTCGCGATTTTAAAATTACTTTTTATAATATCAATCAGAAATTTACGCTAATGCCAGTCACCAGATTTTTTTTTCTTCCTAGAGAACCTTGTTAAATGTAAATAATTACGGCTTACAATCTTACAAATTCAAAGCTTATTAGAGTTGAACATGTTGTATTTTCACTAAATACATTGATCATAACCTACGTTTTTTATAGCTCTAATTACTTTCAAACTCTTAAATTTTGTTAAATTTTACTTTATCAAACAATTTAATCTAAGTAAACAGCATAATCTTTTTAATGGTATAAGAAGTATTGATATACACTAAGATTTGAGTATTAATTTTGATTGTATCCTAATTGGTATTTTTACATTGCAGTTACATTGAAATAGTTAGTATTGAAGCATACACCTTAAAAAAAAGCTATTATGTATTTGAATTATGCTAAACATGTCGCAATTTACTTCAAACATTCTTCTGATACCCATATTTTTGATTAAAATCTTGCTATATGCTGTCCTTAAGCAAAGAGCTCAATAAAATGCTGAGCCCAAGGAGCAATTGCGGACTATTATTAAAGTACTATAATGCTACCGAGAATAGTATGTATAAATTAAATAAATGAAAATTCAAAAGCTCAATCGTACACGCGGTAGAGAGTACTCATACAAAAGAGAATACTCGTTTGACGTCTTATCTTAAAAGTTTCTTCAGAAAAGGAATCTGATGCTATCCCTGAGATCCTCATGTCCCATTCTTCGGAGATCATCTTGACAAATTACCTAAGAAATGAATGGTGCCATACTTACTCAGATGGTTCTGCAACAGGAAGCTCAACTGGGGCTGGCCTATATTTTGAGGAATTGTTTGACAAATCTTTTCCTGTGAGCTCTAATGCCACAAACTTTGATGCTGAGATTGGGGCCATGAAACGTACCATACTCAATCTTCTGAATTTGAGCACACAGCTTAAAGTTATTTTTATTGACTCCTAGTCTGCAATTTTGGCCATTATTTCTCATTTAATAAGTGTGTTATCTTGTGGAATAGAGTGAAATGTTTTTTAATCAAGTAATTTCTATCTGTTAGAAAATTATTCTTCAATGGTTCCAACCACTGTAATATCTCAGGAAATGAAAAAGCAGATAATCTTGTAAAAAGTAAAGGCAATTTACAGCAGCCAGACTTTACTCTGTCACCATCAAATCTGTTATATAATAAATAATAAATTTCAAAATACTCTCCGTGCTGTAGTTTGAAGGGATAAGACCTGGAACTGATTGTTACTCTATCCACTCTTTTTTGCGTTTTCACTACCAGTTTTAGACTGTACACCCAACGTGACTTTCTCAAGGTACACTTATGTCATATTGGAACGGTCAATGCTTCTAACTACTTCGGGAGCTTTTATGAACTTTATTCATTTGACAAACAGCCCAGCGCTTTTGTTTTTTAACCGTTTTCCTGACAAGTTTAATAGCAAGGCATATTTTTATTGAGCTGCCAGAAGACTTGTTGCCTATATAACTTCCCTTACAAAGGATTTTTAAAAAAAACATTTAAAAGTTTGACTAAACACCTACATTACGAAATAAATTTTTATAACTGTCTATTTCAACTCCTGTAATTACCTGAACCCCAGAAACATAGATATATCTAATGTTTGAAACAGATCTAATGTTCTAGTTTTTATAGTTAAAGATATTCTGCAATAAGAAATAAACAACTCTCACTAGTTTTATTATTATTTATTTAAATGAAAAATAATTTTATTTTCTAAGAAAAGGGGGGGAAAATATTTGATTAAAGATTAAAATATGTCTAGATACATAATGAAATAAAAAGAGTATGACATTGCTCAGTCAGATTTGTGATCATGTAGTTGTGTAGTTAAAATGTGTCCTATCCCTAAAATAAGTACCAAGCTTATTTGACATTCCTTACAAAATTTTGTCTTAATCTAAGAAATGCTGATGTCGATTGAGATCTCCTAACTTGGTGTGCAGACTTTAATATTGCCATTAATCCCTTGAAACATAAATTGATTTTGTTACGTACATCATAGATAAGAACACTTTCTGCTTTAGGGCATAGTATTCTTATAATTCGTCAAGCCTTTTTTTATTTGGTTTATTTCTAATATCCATCTGTCAGTTGTTGTTTTTTTTTCATATGCGACAATCACTAATAATTCCTGAGTGTATATTGCGCTTTTTAAATTAAAGAAAGCAATTCTTCATTGTTCTTACTAGCTAAAGAGATATGTGCTCATTGTAAAAAAAAATTAAATGTTTCTAAAAAAAACAGGATATGTACAGGCTACTACAATCTGCTACATAATTAGGTAAGCATCTACGATTTTTACTTTATAGAAATGCTTATGCAAATTGCATGGTTTATGATTTGTGTTTTCTCTGTTATGCACTGCATTTTATTGCAAAATAGCCATTGTTGTTTCCTTTTTTTCCTATTTATAAGCTTTTAATTTAAATTAGCATTATTAAATTATTTATTTTTTGCCTCTTATTTCAAAGAAACAAAGTAAGAAGACTGGAGGGTGGGAAATAGATTAAGTCTCCTCCTATTAGAAATAATTAGAATTTTTACTATTGAAAGTGACAGAGAATAATGCGTAAATATTTTATATATTTTTAATTTATTGCTGTTTAAGGAATCAAAAATGTATATAAATGTGTGAGCAAGTTTCTTAGTTAATTGGACGTTATATGAAAATAACTTTTGAACGTTATTTTGAACGCTTTAATGTTATTTGAAGGCTTTGTGACAAAATTATTTATTATTTTCCAAGGAAAAAGAAAAAAAGTTTCTATCACTTAAGACTGGATTTTTAATTTAATTTAAATGCTCATCTCTATTTGAATATTTTGGCCTGAAAAATTATGTTCATGGTAATACTTTGTTAAAGCAGAGTACAAAAGTATCAGTTAATTACCATGCCCATGTGCTTTTTATTATGTCACAAAAACTAGAAATATAACTTAACTGATTTTAAATTGAACTGATAGCAAACTTTTGAAAGTACAAAAATAATAATAACCATAAAGAAGTAAATAGCCTTATTTTTTATTTACAAAAGAGAGGTTTTCAGTCAAAGAGTGATGACCACTTACCCCAACAATTTCTAAATCTTTAATTGTAGGTTTACAGGCAAGAACAATGGGAATTGATGCGAAAAACAGACTACTTAAGAAAGCTGGAACAACTAACCTTGATGACCCTAATTTATCAACAGATGTCAAAGGTAAAATTATTCCCTGTGACATTGGATTTTTTTTTAATACCCTTGTAGTTACGTGGCAGATTCCATCAGAAAATACATTTTTTTTTTAAAAAAAACTACTGTAACCATATATAAACAATATATCTATGCTTCTTTTCTCTGTCACTTAATCCATAATATTTCACTATATAATGCTACATTTGTTGAATTTAGTAGGGGTGCACAACCTTTTCCAGATGAGGATTTGAGGAAAAAAATTAATCTTTTATAATATTTTAGAATTGAAAATGTATTTGAAGTTTTAGATACAAAGTGATTCCTCTAGACTTCAAAAACTGCAGCTCTTCGGAACGAAAGACTTCCTAACTTCTTGGTCATTTTTTTTATTAATAATTTTTTTTTTCAGTTTAATTTTCACTGTAAATCACAGGACTGTTTATAAGGTATTCAAGAGATAAATTTATTCTTAGATTTACTCTCTTCTAGATTATGAATTAAAAAATTAAATCCCGAAACAAAAATTTTGCATTCGTCGAACTGTTGCATTTGATTCATTATTTAAATTCTAAGAATATAAGTTTAAGTTAGGTAATAAGTATTATTTATCAAAAACTTTTATGATTATCTATTAAAGGTAGGGGTTCACAACCTTTTTGAGTAAAGGGCCACTTGCACAACAGTTGGCAGGCCACATCTGGCCCACAAACCGCAGGTTGTGCACCTTTATTAAGGAATAAATGTTAAGTACATTTGGAAAATTGTAGATTATTCTTTTAAGTGATATAGTTACATATGATTCTTTTTATTTTTTGCTTGCATATGAATAATAATATTCTTTATTTTGCCCTTCTAATCTTTTACTGAGTTCAGGTTTTAATTTCTTAAAGTGAATTTTATTTTTGCTTGATAGCTGTATGCTAATTGCATGATTTGTTAAACTTAGTTTTTCACTTGCAGTTTTTTCATTTGCCAATCTTTGCTCAATTTTCAAGCTAGCTGAAAGTTGCAAATATATTATATAACGTTTATCCATTGTGACTACTGCATTTTATCAATTGTCATGTTTAAAAAAGTTCTCTCCAATTTTATTAATTGTGGAAATTCCTTGTTGTATTTAAATTGCAAGAGTACCTATTGCATAAAGTAAGGCAAGAAATATTGCATTTGAATAGAAGATAATGCATAAAAGTAAAATATGATTATTTAGTAATGATGGTAAATCATTAAAAATTTAACTACTTTAATCACTTGTTTGCACAAAATTTTTAGTTATAAAAGTATTTTTAAATTTAAGTGTAAATAGTTTGCAAAATGCTAACTTTAATTTATGACATAAATTTTAATATTTAAGAATGAAATAAGAATATATTTTCTTTTGCAGGGAAAAAGCAATTTTCCTAGAGAAACAAACAAATCTGTAGTGCATTCTGAATGAGCTATATTTTAAGCAGATGTTGTAGCAAACTCTTAAAGTTTTAAAATTTTCAAACCTGTTTGTAGTGGCCAATAACAATAAATCAAAATTAGTGCCCTCGCGTAATATTTCTGTTGCAAGTTGTAAGGCATCAATGTCAATAATAGAGTTGGTAGCTTAAATTTTTTTGTATTGTGTGTATACTTCATATTGACTAGAATAAAATAATTACTATTAATCTGAGTGTTAAATTCTGTTGATTATAAATTATTGTACATCAATTGAATATTGTTTTCACGAGTGACAGACTATTGTCTGAGCATTCAATATTTAACTGTGGAAATGAACAGTTCTGATTAAAATGTTCAGGACTTAGACTGTACCTTCTGAGAGTGAACCAACCAATAGTAATTATTTAATTCTATTTACTCTTGTTCTGTTGCCATTTGTTAAACAAATTTTAAAATTTTCATGCTTTAATTTTTAATGCACTCTGTCAGGCGGGCTCGGTAACAACTATAATTTTGTTTTATCCTGCTGATTAAAGTACAGTGCTCCGAAGAAGGACTACCTTGAATAACTTTTGATCTAATGACTGGAACTTCACGTTCTAGGACTCAATCTTCATGGTTCGTGGGGGTGACTTCAAATATACTAATTAATTAGTGCAGACGATATATTAAGTTATGAAATCAGACATATAAATGCATTTTCTCTGACTAAACATACCTTTTTTTCATCAAATTCGGATTTCTGACCCAAAAAATATTGGTAGCTGCAATCTGGGAAGTGTGGACCCCATGGTTTGGTCAGGAGAGTGATCTAAAGTTTGAACCCTTTAATGTTAATTTAAATTTTTTGCGTATTTCGCCATATCTTGAGAACCTTTCAAGCAAATTGAAAAAATTTCACATAAAATTATTTAATTCGTTTATCCAAAGATAATTCCGTGTAAAAAATAAATTTTATTAAACATTTATTATTTTTTATTATTTTATTTAATAATGTCGAAAAAAATTTGAATTGTACGGTATACGATTTTTTACGTCATCTTCAAGTAAGTGATTGTTCATGGTAAAATACAAAATTTGGGCAACATCGCTTGCATAGCTCTGAGTTTTAAATATACAACATTTTAAAAATTTGATTTCTCATTAACTATCCGAACGATTTCGCTCAAATCTTGTATTTTTCCATGTAAAATTATTAACATGTTATAAAAAATAGAACACCTTCCATTTCAAAATTTTTTCGACTATTATTAAATGGAATAATAAAAATACTACGTAATTTCTAAAGTTTGTTTTTTGTATGGAATTATCTGTAGACAAACAAATTTTATAGTAATGTGCAAAAAAGTTTCAATTCGCTTAAACAGTTCTTGAGATATGGCAAAATATGCTAAAAGTAAACTTAACAATAAGGGGTTCAAACTTTGGCTTGCTGACTAAACTATGGCGACCATATTTCCCAGGTTGCAGCTATCCCCAATATTTTGGGGTCAGAAATCCGAATTCATTGAAGAAAAAAAGCTATGTTTATTAAGAGAAAGTACCTACGTTTTTGTGTCTGATTCTGTAACTTGAAATATTGCCTTCTGTAATTAATCAATATGTTTGACGTCAGGGTGGTCCGTTTTTTATTTTGTGCACTGTACGTTACTGTTGTCAATAGTTTTTGATAATAGTATTACATTTAAATCAGGATTGATGCTTTCTCCTTTTCTTAAGCTATTAATATACTTGATAATGATATTTTGTGATCACATTCAAATTCGTGAATTTTCTTCTTTTTATTTTATTTAGGGAATGCTAGTTATTATTTAATGTCTATCGTAGTTAATTTTAAAAAAAAGTCAGTAACAGTTTACTAATATTATTGAGTGTATTTTGGGGCCTACCTATGTTAAATATATAAATTTAAACTTCAAGTAGTTTTAACATTTTTTGCAAAACGTAACAAACAATATCGACATGTAACAAACAAAATTTAGTATTATGCTTTTTTACTACATTTAAATCTGGAAGTAGCCGAAAATTTGAGCATACATTTTTTTCTGGCTTTACTCTTAAGTTCGCTATTTTCTTGCATTTAAACCTCTTCTACCATTGTAATGATCAGGTATATGATTGTGCATAAGGTAAAATCACAGTGTATTTGTGCTATATCTACTGTATTTCCATTTAATTTAAAGTTTTTTTAATTTTACATATGATAATCAATCTACTGAATTTAGGGATATTTAATAATAATTATAATTATAAAGGTTAAGATTTTAATTTACTCTTTTGTTTACTGGATAGTTTTAATTATACTTAGAATAAGGAAATTTTCTATTTTATTCTTTTAAGATATGTATTTATTTATTTTTTATTTGTTTTAATTTTAACAGAGCAAATTTTTCATTGTTAAAATTAGTTTTATTCTTAACTTTCTCTTTCGCTATTTGTAGTTACTAAAAGATAGTTTTTTTCCCGTTATTGTCAAAAATATAACTTTTTATATTAGTTTTTGAAATGTAAATCCCAGATATTTTACATTTACAGTTCATTATTTACATAACAAACACAATAAGTGCTAGTTTTATAATTAATTGAATTTCATGCTATTTTTTATTACAGTTTTGGTTTAAAATTTTGTTCTTTATTTTCTGCTCTGTTGAATTAAAATGCATAAGCATATTTATAATCCTATACGTATATATAATATACCTGAAACTCTCCTAAGAAGTTTTCCACTTTACCTTTAGTTTATATTTAGTTACATCTAAATAGTTTATATTCTCATTACCATTATGACCGTCTATTTCTAGGATAATAAAATAATCTTTCTCAGATATTTTATTTTTAATTTTTTCCTGGTTTTCACACTCTGCCAATTGTTTTTAAAATCTGAGAAATTTCCGGGTAAGAAATTTCATTCAATAATAAGCAACACTTAAATGTATATTTTAACTTGGGTAAACCATTTTTACTATCCATTTATAATGTTTGTTTTATACCATGCTAATAAATAAAACCACTAGAATAATATGTTACTATAAAAGAGGTTTATTTCGGAAACTAATATTTGAATGTTTTAAAAATATTTTTAGTTTTTATCTTAAACTAATGATAAGGAAACTATTGTAATTTATATTTAATATGGAATTAAATATGTGATTTCAAACTGTATTTGTAACTTGTTTTGCATCTTTATACTGGACTTATTAATTTTCTTTTCTGTTAAATGTTGAATTGTCTCTCTTATATATATAATAACAATAGAGCACTCTTTGCTTATTTTTCTATGTGAACTGTAAATGCCTCTGTATTAATGTTCCATCTATTCTGTTGTTTGTTTCAAATAAAATATTTCTCTGTGTTGTCTTTTCTTTGTTTCTCACTCATAGCACATTATTCACCCTTTATATACTAAGCACTATTTTTTTTAATATTTATTAACCAAAATTTGTTTGACATGTTGCTTTTATTTCTTGGTGATGGAATCTCATAAAACTTTCATGGCCAAACATCAAAAAGCTTACAGATTACAGTGTTTCTTACTTAAACCATAAATAAGTTAATTGATTTGCAAATAAGTTAAAAACAAAAAAAAGTTATGTAAAATATATCTGGGTACAATAGAATATCAAACCAAGATTGTATTATTTGGAATCTCCCCCCTGCCAAGAATGAAGTGCGAGAAGACCGATTTCTTTTTAACCCTTCCTTCTGTATTATATTTATCCTGCTGCCCCTGAGTCATTTAAGATTCTCTTTTCTTCCTTTTTTTTATTTGTATTGCATCACCGGTTGCCATTAAACGTAAAATAACTTGAAAATTTATGTCCCTTCTACATCTTTTGTACTATTTAACTTATTAATGTCCTGTTGTATATTAATTCTACTTTTTTATGATCTAAAACTTGCACAAATAGATTATCAAGGATATTTGCTACTCTGGGCCAAAATATTTCTAAACATCCCAGCTAATTAAGAATTGTATTTTCGTTCTCTTTTTTTTTTCCTAAAATATTTTTGAAATTCTTCCAAGTAATACATATGTGTTTTCCAGCTTGCCTTTTCTTTTATTCATTTATTTTTAAGCATTAGCAAACAAAAACTCATATTAAAAAGAGAGAGAAGGAGAAATTAATCAGTCATAGAATTTTTCCCTTTGTACTTAGTTTTTTATTTTATATTTAACTTATTATTAATTCATAGAAATTTAAGCTACAGTTCAAAGTTGAAAAGGGGGGGAAAATTTACTATTTACTCTTTTACAATTTCATTAAATATATTTTATTCCTCTTCTGAAGTAATACTTTTGGTGGTAAGAATTTTCTGAATTGTAAATTTTAGAAATTTTGTTTTGCTATCAAATCTATCCAGTTTTATGAATAAATGTATATTATTACAATTGCACTCTTTGACTAATAATTTTACTTCCAATATATTTTTTAGCATTTAATCTCTACAATTTAATAATCTTGAGCATTTACATACCTTCAAATAACAGCCAAAATTAGTTTTGTGGAAAACATGCCTTTATGATTATTAAATTTTTAATATCACTTCGTGATAAAAAATTTTAAGATAAAATACTATTTTTGAAATTAAAAGTTTTGGATATCAGTTTGTTTAATCTACCTATATTAACTAAAAATATAAAATTTTCTGAAAAAGTCTTTTTTAATAATTGTTAGATTTTATTGAAATGTTGATAAATTTTTCTCAAAATTATAAGTCTCAGATTTTATTTTAAAGAAGAAATTAAATTGAGAAAAAAGGTTTCTAGATTAGTGGGGTGTTTTCATACTCTTCACTTTTCCTTTTTGGCGATCTTAGATTGAAAATTTTTTTACTAGTTTACCTAGAATTACAAATCTTGTTTGTTCGGTACAGTGTAGCTCATTCCAGCTCTTGTATCATTAGACTCTTCTTTCAATTTTATAATTTGTATTTTTATACTGCTATTTTACAGCTTTTTATTTTCATAAAGCATTTAATTGTTTGTTTCAATTTAAGGGTTGGGACCACACAGTCTTGCTACCAATATTACTTTACTTCGGGCAACAGAGGTAGATGAAATTTTTGATGGAAAAGATGAAAAGTATCGTGCAGTTTCTATCAGTACTGAGCCACCTGCATCACGGTAAATAGTTTTTTTTATGAAGATTTTTCTGATTTGTCTAATTTTTCTAAAATATATTTAGTCAACAATGTTTGAAAAGTTATATTTTTTGGTCTATAAATCTTAAGATATGTATAACATCATACCTATGATGATTTTCTAACTATTCCTGAAGGAAAAAAAATAGACTGAAACTTCATTTGAAAATTTAGCCTTAAATAGTCTTAGAAAATGATCATGCTATTTTAACACCAACTTTTTCAATAGCATTGCTAATAATTTTGAAACTATTTCAAAAATATTAGGCACTTTACATGCGACCTAAAATTACTGTTCAAATTAAAATTAAAATGCATTCATCATTATTTAAAATATTATCATAATTGCTGTTTTAATTTTCTAAATTTTACAATTCATCTAAAATTTTCTTTATAGGATTTTACTCCTCCTATATTATGCAGAAAAAAAACTAGTTTGTTTTGTAGATAAGCCGCCAATACTGATTTAAATGTTCATAGATAAAAGTGAACTAATGTGTAATAAATGCTTGTAGGAAGATTAAAAAGAAATTTTAAAAGTTTCTCCTGCATACTTTTAAACTAGTACTTGACAGATTTCAAAAAATAAAAATAAACAGTGTTTTAAATTAGTTATAGATGCTTTCAACTATACATTTTACAGGTTATATTCATATTACTGGAGTTTAACCTTCTGAAACGCTTTAACCTTGCCCAGTCTAAATAATTTGTGGGGGTTTTTTTTGTTTTTTTTTAATTCCCCTTTTATCTTTTTTGTGAACATTAAACATTAGTCATTTTGGAACAAATTAGTTATTTTAGAAACTAGATTAGTTATTTTGATAAGTTGTTACAAACCATAATCATTAATGCAAGGGTCAAAACGGTCCTAATTCATGCTGTTTTGAAAAATGGGGGCAAAGTTATTTAGATTTTCTACTCTTAAAAGAATTGATATATCATAATTAATAAAATGTCAAAGGCATATATGTAGAAAAAATATATCTAACGTGCCTACTTTAAGATGAGTTGAATAAGTAATATGATAAAATCGTAATGTTTCTCTTTAAATACTAGTTGCCATTTATAATTAAAGCACACTGTACTGATTGATCAAGACAAAACTATGACCTGTTAGCTGAATTTCAATGCCTTCAATCATTTAATCAAAGTGTTTTTACCCTTCTCTTAAAAAGTATTGTGAAAAAGTTCATTTTTAAGTGAATCATTTCATGCTACGTTCCAATGACAGCAGATTTAATTCATTTTTACAGAACTTATATTTGAACATCAATGGAAGAGCTTTCTTTTTGTTTAATTGATTTATTATTCAATTAATTTCATTATTTAGTGTGTTGGGAAACTAAACTCTAAAACTCTTGCAGGGAAACTAAAGCTAAGAGAAATACTTGGATGCCCACAGTTCCAAATAGTTCTCATCATTTAGATGCTGTACCATGTTCTACTCCTGTAAACAGAAATAGAATAAGTCACAAGAAAGTTAGAACTTTCCCATTACTGTAAGTATTAAAATTAATACTCTATTTTACACTGTTGTTCATAATAAGGTATTTCATATAAACTGGGGCCTTGTGTGACCCTCTGAAGACACCTTGGTAGCCTGCCAAATCACGACAATCCGTTTTAATGATAATCCAAATTATCGACTGTTAATTGTTGTGAGAGAATTAATAAAACTTTTTGGATCAGAGAACACATAATCAAACACAGGAACGCATTTAGCAGTTCAGTATTTGGTGTATACTTTACTAATACTAACTACAACTATTTCGGAGGATATTGTTGCTTTAACTAAGTAGAAATATTGTCAAACTACACATTTAGCTTAAAATGATCATCAACCTTTTTATACTGTTTTTTTTTTTCTCGCTGTAGTAAAATATCTCTATCATCCTATTTTATATGTTAAAATCATCTCCTTCCTACTTAAAAATTTCTTTAGCTAAATTATATTATCTCGCAGTTGTGTAACCCACAGGCTTTTCAAATTTACTACTGTGGCTTTCTGGTGCAAAATGCTGAAGACCCTTAACCTAAACTAACCATTAAATTTCCATTAGCTTTCAATTGTATGTATGATTTATTTATATTGCTGTGTCTGATCTGATTAAAATTAGTATGAAAGAAAAAATGTTTAAGCTCTTTAAAAATATGGCATATTATAAGTATGGTGATAGGATTTGTAATCTGGGTACCAATTTTATGAAGACGGAAAGATGGAATATTCGGAGTGCCATTTATATTGGTGATGATGATAGGCAGGTGAGGTTGGAGGGTGTATTGGTATAGTGGGCCAGTTGAAGATTGATGTTGAAAACAGAAGGGTGATGAAAATAATAGTTGAACCGGATCATATTTAATAAAAAGCTTTTATTTATTAATAGTATTTGCAGAGCTCGAGATACAAAACTAAATATCATTCATAAGAATTTCAGTTGAATCAATTTTGTATAATAATATTAATAAGGACAGGCCGTGGGAGACAAATCCCCACGACCTGCCTAATCAAAAGCCAAATTAAAAAGTACGTGTAATTTGTTCCGATCGGACACAGGAGAAGCATGGGATGGAGATCCAAAATTGGCGATTTATCACAGTATATCATAGCCAAAACAAAGCCAACAAGCATATCAACATGGGTTTAAAAGACCACCTTGGCGATCACGAGTCGCCAACAAATTTATGTGAATTATTACAGCCATGCAACCGAAACATTTAGCCGTTGGAAAATTAGAATAAAAAGTTATAAATAGATTTTTGTTTTCGATTAAAGGCGACAGTGAATATATAAGTCTGCATTAGTAATGAAATAAAAAAGTATCCGTTACATTAATCTAGAAGAGAAGAAATAAATATTTTATGTTCATTTAAAAGATTAAGTTTTTGATTTATTTTTAAATGTAATTCTATTAATAAAAGATCAGCTTAAGTAATGAAAGATATTTTAAAAGATAGAAAGTAAATATGTGTATGCCAATTGTGGCATCACAATAAGCTTCACAATTAAATTTATAAAATATGGTAAACTGCTTTTGATTTAGAAATTTTGCAATTAATCTGATTATATATCAATTTTTGCTGGGAATCTCTCTTCGTGATTGAAGATCTTTTTTGAAAATGTATTTTACTAATTAAGGATTTGTATTTAAAAAAAAAATTTAAACTTTCATTAACATAATTATTAGTTTTGCTAACTTCATGAACATTAAAATAGTATTTTTGTTTTTATTTAGTTTATTTATTAGGGCTTGTTTCTTATTATTTGTTGTTAAAAATTCTATTTAGTAATATTAAAACTGAAAATTTTACTTCACTTTCACATTTATACTGAAGTTCAAAATTATTTTTTTCATTATTTATATAAAATAGATAATTTTATAAATTTTTAATGTCATTTTATTCAAAATTTAATGTAAATTTTTAAGAATCAAGATATTTTTGTGTATACAGTTGTTTGTTGCAGTTATTGGTTCAGATTTTTTTGTTTTTAATAAAATTGTAAATACGAATGTTTTTTTTTTAATTAAAAAACATAAATATTTTATACTAACATTGCATAAATTTTCTAAACCTAAATTCCTATTTTGATTGTATCCCCTTCTCTTATTGATATAGAATTGTGAATCATAAGTTTCCTTACCTGTCAGAGTGAAAATTAAATGATATTTCACATTAAGAGTGATAAGATTATGAGAGCATTATGTTTGTACATAATATGATAGGGAATGAAAAATTAGTTCACTTAAGTTCATGTTAAGCATGTTCATGTAAAGAAGGTTCATCTGCATCACAGCATATATGAAAGATCTCCAGATTTATTGTAGAAAAAATTCTTATTTCATAGTAAAGCAGTTTCAAAATCAAGTTTTTTTCCAAATAAAACTTTCATATCAATGGTAGCTGTGGTTGACCCTGAGAGGACATTAAAAGTGGGACACTACTTCCAGTATTTTATTAGCAATGAATATCAGGAAGAAAAAAAATACACAATTTTACTTGGTCTAGTATTTTATGTTTGGGATAATTTAAAGTAAATAGAACTTGTGAACTTACTTATGCAAAGTTGAAAGGGAAAAATCATATATTCTGAATGAATAGTCTTCCCAATGGAGTTAACAGCTTATGGAAAAATTCTTTAATAATCATTATTTCCAAGAACTTCTTGACATTCAATCTAAAAATAATCTCTTCAACAGGAATATATATGCAAAGTAGTATCATTTTTGAGGGGAAAAAATGCATTTTTTTAAAATTTGTTTCAAAATCTATTTTTATGGTAAAACAGATTTGATGGCTTTAAGTATAAGTATACTTTTTCTCATGTTTATTTCAATTAAAATATATAAAACATTATTTTAGTACACTTTGGTGTTTTTATTCTTAAAAATTTACTGCAAAATCTTTATTATATACTCCTTATAAGAAGCTCTTATAATTATGACAGTTATTATTTAACACAATTTGACAATAATTCATTTTTTGTAGGTATGATGATCTAGAACCTGCAGTAATTCATGAAAATGCCACACAAATGGAAGTTCTTGTTCCAGTTCGTTTAGATATGGAAATAGAAGGTCACAAACTGCGTGATACTTTTACATGGAATAAAAATGGTATTTTTTACTTTAAGTGCAGTATGGTTAACATACTTAATGTTGAAATATTTTATAGAATAAGAATTTCATCAACTAAATTTAAGAGCTGTTGTTAGAATGTTTGTATATATTCAGTATTATAGTGATTCACCAAGTGAGAAAGTTGTAGTTTGTTTTGGCTAAAGATGGCTAATAATTTGTTTACATTATTTAGGATTTTATTATTGGCAACTGTAAAAGTTGTCTCACACGAAATAAGGAAAATGATGAAATATATGTCATATATTCAGTAGCATTGTTAACTTATTTCTTTAAAGCAGCAAGAAGCACCAAATGTTGATAAAAAGAGTTAGCTCAATCTTACTTTAATGTGCATATTTATAATAATGGAAATGAAGTCATGCAAATGAGAAATGATGAATCCTTATAGGGCCCTGATAATCCTTATTTAATGTCATCAAAGTGTCAAATTTTAGACAGTCTGCCAACTTTACTGAGAAAAGAAATTAATGTTTTTGCTATAAACAGTTGCAAATTATCGATTAAGTCTCCTTTTATAGCTTTAGGCATTAAAAATCTACTTGCGGTAGAAATTGAAGCAAAATTAATGACAATTTATAAAATTAAAACAGTTTAGCAATCATGCAATAGTTTTCAAATTTTATGTAAATGTTTTAAGTACTTGAATTGATTTCTTGTTTGCCAAAGTGAAAATTTTTTAACACTTATATTATTGAGATAATGTGAAAAATTAATTTCATTTTTATGCTTATATTATCATGAGATTCTTTAAAATCTCAAGCATCTATGAGTGGTCCATTAAATTTGTGAATTATTTGATTTGAAGATTTACAAATGGAAACATTAAAACAAAACAATACAAGGAAAATGCTATCCAACTTTAACTGGTAGAATGAGAAATAATCTCGTGAAAATCAGCAACAAAGCGAAAAAGAAGCCAAACAATATATATAACCAGACACTCAGTGAAAAGGGAACAGTGTGAAGTTATTAAATGAAACAAAAATTATAGTTTTCTATGTTAACTAAGTGAGACAAAATGTTATATCCTTAAATATTTTTTTCTCTTCTATGTGATATATTTTTAATTGAAATAAAATATGCAATATAATGTGCAAATCACTAATATTAGTATTTTGTGGTTCACTTTATATTTTGACCACACTTACTTACAAAAATTATTTATACCCCATTTATTTAACAAATCCTATTATATTTTTTCAAGCTTTATATAATTCATGTTTTTATTTACTTTTAGAATCTTTAATAACTCCTGAGCAATTTGCAGAAGCTCTTTGTGATGATTTAGACTTACCACCATTGTCTTTTGTGCCAGCTATTGCGCAATCCATAAGACAACAAATCGATGCATTTCCCACAGATAATCTTCTTGATGAACAAGCAGATCAGAGGGTTATTCTAAAGGTAATGTATAAATTACAGCCTTTTTGGATAAAAGATAATGAATGAGCAAGATATCAGAGGTAATCTATATAAAATGTTCTAGATCAAGTTATTTGAAAGCCATGTTATTCAAGTAGAAGATCTTTAATTAAGAATACTATGTGAGCATAAGTTAAATAACACATGAGGGAGTTTGTATCTTACTATTATATAAAAATTGAAGGTGAAAACATTTTACAAGCAAATCACACCGAGCTGTGGTAGTTAATGGGATAGAGTGCTTGCCTCTCAATGAGGTTACCCGGGTTCGAATCTTAGCAATTGCTGGTAGGTAAGAATTTCGCATCCGGCTTGCACCAATGATAATGCAGATGTAAAATTTCCTCAGTGGTAGAAGGATCATGGGTTAGAATCCCCTTGCTGCTATGCTATCGCAGGGAGGTTTTGGTGGTTTTCCTCTCAATGTAACGCGAATGTGAGTTTCATCAAAAAGTCCTCCCCGAAAGCAAACTTCTCCCAACACTAGATCTGGGAGTTACCTTGTCTTTTGGATTGGGGTTCAAAGATACAAGGCTACGGTCTTCCTCTTCACTGTCTGATTCTTTATTTTACAAGCGTTTAGTATACATATTTATACACAACAGATACAGCAAGAGAAATAAAATCAATTTAATGTTTTGCATAGCAATACCTTGCTAGTTATTGTTGTATCTATAATTTTTAGCACTTGTTTTCACTAAAGCTACCTTATTTTTAATAGGTTGTACGGCTAATGGTAAAAGATATCTATATGAGGATCCTCACATTATGATTCCTTTTATTGTACTTTTATTTATTGATTGCTTTTTTGTATTAAAGTGTATTCACTTCTTCAAAAATTGTTTTCTGGTATTGCTCTTAATTTTAAGCCTAATATATTTTTGTTTATTTCTAACATAACAGCTGAACATACATGTAGGAAATATTTCTTTGGTTGATCAGTTTGAATGGGATATGTCTGAAAAAGAAAACAGTCCTGAAGTGTTTGCAAATAAGTTATGTTCTGAGTTAGGACTTGGTGGAGAATTTTGTACAGCTATTGCATACAGTATTAGGGGTCAGTTGTCTTGGCATCAAAGAACCTATGCATTTAGGTAAGTTTCAATTTGCATCAGTTGAAATTTTGGAACTAAAAAATGTCAATTCTGATGAAAGTGTGTTAAAATAAAACAGTTCATTCCAATTTAATAATTTCGAGCAGCATTCAACTAGAGAAAATATTTAAACCTTAAGTTCTTCAATTAAATGCATCTCTAAACTTATTGGAATATCATTAGTTGAACCTTATTATTTAACTAAGTTGTTTAGTTATAAAAATAAAGAACTGCTTGCACTAAAAGTCTCTCAAATTAAGTTTGATTTAATTTTACTTTTAATATATTTTTTTTATTGATTTTAAAGTAAATTGTGAAGACATGTTGATTATCCTAAGTATTGCTCGAAGTTTGATTTTGAATCTCTTAAAGTTTGTTTTACAAATGTTAAAAAATAGCTAATTTAAATTACTTCATTTTCTTTTTTTTTTAAATTTGCTGATTTTATCAATTACTTTAATTTAGGATGTTCATTACACAAAATTAAAAATAAAATAAAAACTAAACAATTGCCCTGATTTAACTTTTGGTTTAATTTTACACATAAATTTTAATAATTCTACTAAATGGCTTAAGAGGCTTACCTTAAATGTGCTAGTGCAGATAATATTTTAAGGATGTTATACTTGAAAAACACAATTTCTCAAAATTAACAGTTTAAAAAGTGTAGTCAGAAAAAGTTTGTATCTTTGTCTGATTTTGTGACTTAAAATGTCATTTGCACCAGCTAATTTGCATATTTAAGATCAGGTATTTGAGTTTTTGATTTAATTAAATCAAAATCTAAATCAAGGTTATAAAACTCCAATTATTAGATCAAAAGTTATTCAGTATTTCATGTTTTTATTTTGTGCATTGATTGCAGTTTGTGCAAAGTTCTGATTTTTTAAGCCTAATTTTATTGATTATAAAGGTTTCTATTTGAATATTGTTTTAAAAAAAATGGGAACATTATTTGTTTGGGAGTGTACAAACTTATATTGTGGGTAATATCAAATGCTTGCATAATTAGGCTGATCAGCAACCTTTGAAAACTAAAAAACAGCAAGAAAAAGAGCATCAAAAAACTCACTGCTTTATCCTTACAATTTAATATTCTAAAAACAGAAATCCTTCTCAAAGATTCTCTAACGAAAATAATTTTTTTAAAATAATTTAAGAGTTAAAGAGGTGAGTTTTAAAAGTTTTCTACCAGTTCTTTTAGTCTTCATAGAACGCTGGTCAGCTTAGCATTATGAAATATAGAGCACATACTCTATATTTGTTTACCAATCAATTTAATGTTCTGTAAGTAAAAGCTCATGTTTAAAATTTTTATGATATAAATGAAATAAAAAAAGATTTCATTGTACTGCAAAATGTGTAGTAAAACTTTTTTTTTACATGTTGAGATTAAAAAGTTAAATCCTTTATTTCTTGTACACGTACTTCTAATTGGTGAAACCTTATCCCTAATTTTAACTGTTCATGGCAGAGCAAAATTCATTTGAATTTGTTCTTAGTGAAGTTTCTATATATTGCTTGTCAATTGTTTCTTGCCAGTGTATTTCAAAACTTTTTCCACTCCAGAAAATACTCAGATTGTAGTTTGAACATTTATTCTTAGATATCTGCAAAATTTAAATTGTAGACAAAATAAATTATTGCTGTATAATATTTAAAAGAGAGGGAAGTAAAATCTCAATTTTTTAAAAAAATGTCAGTATTAGACAAACTAAAAATGTACTCTGAATTTTTTTTTAAAGAGCGTGACAGCTATATTCAAAATCTATATAATTATTTTTCATCTTCCTACAGCTAAAATCATTCATCGCTAGATAGATAACTGAAAATCATTTCATAATTTATAAAATTTGAGTTATTTAGTTAATGATTTTTTCTAGTATTCCACTTTTATCAAATGTATGGAAATCTATTTTCTTTCAATTTCTTCATCCTGCAATCTCTGGGGTTAATTCTAGACCTTAAAGAGGGCTGGGGCAACACTTCCTAGAAAGAACAGGCCTCAGCACGGGTTACCATAAATATCCCTTAGTAGTCCAAATGGAGAAAGGTAATGCATATTTTGTATTTTCAACCACTGTGCAGCTTAGTACCCCTAACGTAATAACATCTTTCTTATTTTTCGTCTACTGCGCAGATAACTTTCATCACATCGGACTACTAAATTAATCCGTGCTGAGGGCTTTCTACTTCTAGGAGGTGTTGGCTGAGGACTGCCTACATTCTTAAATAAAAGCTACCAATCAGCAAAAAAAATGCATTACCTTTCTCCACAAAATTGCTTTGTTCTTAAGAGATTAAAAATGTTTTTTCATTAAAAAAATCCAATTTTTAAGGGGAAAGAATTCAACTTAAAAAATATTAGTGTATTTTTTACATTTTGAAAATGTGTGTTTAAATATCGGGATTATAAAAATGATGTGGAAAGAGAGAGAAAAAAACAATAACTGAGTTAAGTCCAAAGAAAGAGAGCAAAAAGCAAAGTTTATCCTGATTGATTGCAATGTATAACAAGCACATCAAAAAGCAATTATTATATCGAAATTTGAAAAATTATGTGAGATTGCCAAAAAAAGATCTATATTTGGCTTGAGGTTCTAATAGAATCATCACAAATGATACCTTTAATTCAGTAGTAAGTATCAGAATTGGAAATAGTAAAAAAATTTTAAAAAATATGGAATCAGGCACTTCAGAAATAAATTTTCAAGTTAACAAATTGTCATAACTGAAATCCAAAATTTGTAGTTGCTGTAGCATTGTATTTGATTAATTGCATGAAAATTAGCTGTAAAACAATTCAGTTTTATGATGATGTCATTAAAAATTGAGCTCTTCAAATGGGTAATGACTCAAATTCAATTATTATTATCCCCTAACTGTTAGCAATGATTGTTAATAAAAATACTGATTAGTTTTTATACTCAATTTTGATTTATAGTGAAGCTCCTTTACCCACTGTTGACATTCCTTATCGAAATCAGTCAGAAGCTGATCAATGGTGTCCATTCTTAGAAACTCTTACTGATGCAGAAATGGAGAAAAAGATCAGAGATCAAGACAGAAATACAAGGTATGTTTTTTTCCTATCTCTAAAGTACACTTGCAATTTTTTTGTTATTCAGCTATAAGTACAATTAGAGTTTTAAAATTTAGTGTTTTGTTTTACTTTTTATAACAAGTAAGAATGTTTTATACTTACAAAGTATCACACATTAATGTTTTTGTAACTAAGCTAGTGTAAATGCTGAGAGCTACCACTGTTTAAGAACAGCTTCAGATCGATAGTTACCAGCTTGTCTAGGAAGTAAAGTAATCCAGTGTGCAATGTTGACCACATTGCCACCATAATACCATGGCCTTTAAAATTCTGGAGCCTTAATCTCCTCGCCATCTTTCGGTTGTACTAAAGTTGCTTTTCTTTACAAATGAAACTAACTATTGGAAAAGGGTAAAACTTCAAGTTATATTTTTGAATTTTTTCCACCACCATTTTGTTGAAATCATTACGAACCTGACACATGCATAAATTAATGAAAGATCTTCTGAAGCCGAATTTATTATATGTTTCCTACAGATTAAAAACTCTATTTTAATAAGACACCTCATCATTTCTTATTTGTATGCACATTGAAACTGATGCAAAGCTTAGCATTTTTGCATTCATAAGTAACTGTATACTAAAATTGAAAAACTTATTTAGGTTTTATCCTGAAAGCATTGTCACTGATTTTACTGTTAAGCTAATCAAATTAATTAAAACAGGTGAAGGGGGCAGTTAGCTTTTGCTCGGCTTGCTGCTTCTCAGCTGTCACTAACTGTCTAGAAAGTAAAGATTGCTATTGTCATAAAACTTGCTATAGGTTTCAGTGTAAACTTTTGGTATGTAGCCCTCGATAGATTGCTATCAAATTTAGAGCAAGTTTTATTTCTCTTGATTAAGTCATCATTTATCAGAATGCAGTGTATTCATTACAGAAAAAAAATGGGAGGGATTTAAAAAAGTTAAGTGAGATTTCTAAAAATTAAAAAAACATGAATAGACTTGGAAAAAAATTTATTTCTTTAATTATAATGCATCTTTTAATTGAATATTTTTGCTGCATCATCATATGGAAAATGTTCTATATCTACTTTTTTATCAGCTATTATATTTATTTGGCTGAAAAATATTGTATTTGTTTCGTTTTGTCCGTTATGGAGTAGAAGATGTCGCCTTAACGAGGTATTTGTCCATCTTACATTCATGCAAAAAAAAATTTAAACGTCTTACATGAAGAAACCTTACCTACGGTTAACACGTGGTTGAAGAGAAATGTGTTCTGAAAGGGGTTCNTTGAAAGGGGGTTCGGGGGTAGCGTTCTGCTGTTCGCTCCGGTTCTGAACAATACTGGTAAATAGGGAAGCTAGATAACAAGGACCGATGTTCAAAATAATGAAAGATCAAGGAAGAAAAGTGAAACAGATTTTATTCAAATTTTTTTCCAAAATTCGTGCATTTTGAAATTGATTAATAGAGTGCTCGAAGTTCTCGCGTTAATCATTTTTTATTGCAAGAAAAGAAAAAAAATATGCGAGATTCTCGTACTGTAGTGAAAACACTGGAATGCAAAATCTGCTGGTGATTCAGTGCTGAATGCACTTGAGAGCAATCGCCACCTCTCTCGAAAATGTAACTTTTATATAAGTTTTCATGTAATAAGGCATTACATGAAGGCATTACAAGAAGTTTCAATATAACATAGATGATTGAAAACTTTGATTCCAGAGACTTCTTTTCGTTACCTCATTTGGAAACTTTCATCAAAGGACATAGTTTAAGTATTATTGAAAAATCAAACAGGCTTTGAATAATATGTATCAGTGCTAGAGGATGCTGCGGCTCTATTGATTAAAAAGTGGTACTTTTTATCTTAAACTAGTTTCTTGACTGAAAAATTAAATTTGTATAAGGGTACAGTTCGAAAATTTGAACTCATTAAACTTGTGTAAAACTGCAGTCATGAAAAAGAACTCAATATTAAGCTAATTATAACTTAGTCCAAAAATTTCCGCAATAACGACAGTTTTTAAAACTTGTTTTTCCAAACACTATGAATTACTTTTCTTACTAATTGGTAAGCTTAAATTTATACAAAAAAAGGTTCGTACAAAGATAATATATCAGAGTTACTGTTATTCCAAAAGAAAGCTTTAATTATTGATCATAGTTTATATAAAAAGCACCATTTCTAAAAGTGATCTTTTGAACTGTGCTACAAACTTAGACTGAAATTTTTTCAAGGTTGTGTATGTAAGTTATGTTATGATTATATCGTGACGTTCTGGGATTCAATCTTAATGGTTTGAGAATGGCTTAGCCCTCTTAATGTTAACTTCATTTTTTGCATATTTCACCATGTCTCTACTACTTTTTATGCGAATTAAAAAAAAATTGCATGCAATTATAAAATTTTATTTATCAATAGATAATTCCATTCAGGAAATAACCTTTAGTAAATATTTTTATTATTTTATATAATAATAGTTGAAAACATTTTGAATTGTAAGGTTTACAATTTTTATATAGTTTTAGAAAAAGTAATTTTATATTACAAAATTTAAGCAAATCAGTGGAAAAGTTCTTGAAAAATCTAATTTTAAAGATTGGGCTTTTTAAAAATTAGATTTCGCCGCACTATTCGACCAATTTTGCATTTTAACATAAAATTTTATGCCTTTCAATTGAAAAAATTTTCAACTACTATTAAATAATATTTACTGAAAGTTATTTTTAGCATGGTTATATCTTTGAATAAACAATTTTTATAATTGTGCGGATAAATTTTTGATTTCGCTTAAAGAATTCTTGGGGTATGGCGGAATATGATAAAATTAACATTAAGGGCTGAAAAGGTTAGACCGCTTACCTGACCAAACTATTACGACCATATTTTCCAGATTGTGGCTAATCCCTATATTTTGGGATTAGAAACCCGAATCCGTCGAAAAAGGTATGTTTCTGATCTGATTTTGTAACTTAAAATATCACAGGTCACTGCCTCAAACCATTAAGATTGAGTTCTAGTACATCAAGGTCCATTTATTTTTTTTTGGGCACTGTGCATTTCTAATTCCTAATTTAATTAGTGTACAGTTAAATAATGCATATTTAAGTTTTTGAAACTTGAGCATTAACATTTGTTTATCATTTCAGGAGGATGAGGCGTTTAGCAAACACTGCACCAGCCTGGTAAAAAAGGAATTCACCCTCATCATCATTTGAAGATTGTTTTTAAGGACTGTACATTTATCATTTTAAATATTACATTATAAGGAAACGTTTTGAAGAAAGTATAACATTTGGAACTGCTTGTGTAGTATTGCATTTCGTCAAATATGTGTGGTTATTGTTTCTTTATATTTAATCCATAGTTACAGATTTTTAATTATTGAAAATTGCACTGGTATACGTATAACATCTTCTCCGAAAGTAATAAGTTATCAAATATTGATATAATTTGTAAATATTTGTTATTAAAGCAAATAAATACGCTAAATACTTAAGATATTTGTTTCATGTTTTTGAATATTCATAAAATTTAGCATCTTTTCCGTAAGGATTTGAAAATTTATGCATTTTTTTTTGTTTCCATTTCAAACAATTGTAAATTAATTTATGAATATTAAAATTTATTCATTTTTGAGATTGGCTACAAATATTTTTAATTAGCTATACCTCATTGTTTTGTGGAAAGGCTTTGTAATGACAGTCAAAAATAAAAAAAAGTTTCAGATTGAAAAATTTAACAATTTTGTTTTAAATTTAAAAGTGACATTTTTAACATTCTGATAAAATGTATTTATTAGATATTCTCAAAATGTGTTTTTACAATATTTGAACAGTTTACATTATCTTTAAAAGTGTTTTTCTATGGATTAAATTATCAAAAAGTTATTCTTAAAATAGTGCTGATGTACAAAAAACTGACGTACAAAAAAAAAATTCTTAAGAACATACAGAAAATTTCCTCTAAATAATTTATTTTATTCGTGCTAATTCCTTTGACAGAAACATGTTGCAAACTATTAAAAATAAATTTGTTGCGTTAAGGATTTCAATATTATTATTCTGCTATATAAGCTTAAAGTTAAAAATTCAAGAGCTAATTAAACCTAAAATGGCATAATTAGTTATGTTTTTTGTTTTTTTTTAATTATATATATTTAGAAATAGTGAAGGAGTTACTTCATATGTGTAAAAACGTTTTGAAGTTAGTTATTTAAACGTTAATTCTGGCTTTTTTCAACAAGTGTCTTTTCCTCATCAGAAACAGAAAAAAAAATCCCCATGCTAGTTATAGAGAAAATCTGCACATAACAGGAAAATTTAAGTACTATTTTGCTTATAATTGGGAGGCTAATGGTAAGGGGAAGAAAACTTGAGTGTATAAATCCATTAATTTCACCAGAAGGGGGGGGGGGCGTAAAAGCGTTGTTGCTTTAAACTTTTGCACATAATATAATGTGTTGACAATTCAGATTAATCCTACTTTTAAAAACCTTCTACCACTAATGTATCAATTTATCTTATGTGTTAGACCTCTAAATTAATAGTGGTTCATTGACCACTAAAGTTTGTCTTGATTATAAGTTGTCCCCAGGGCCAATAATTTACATAAATTATTGACCCTGTATGTTGTTTAATTTTAAAAATTAATACAATAATAAGCCGAAAATTTAATGGAATCAGTAAATATAATTTTTTTTAAAATTTCTATCCTTTATTGTAATTAATACGCTTGTTGAAACACAAATTAAGTCTGTTTGTTTGTGAATAGTGAAATTTTTATTTTAATTATTTAATCAGTTACATGTAGTTGAAAATATTATAAATAATTAAATGAGATGTAAAATTAAAACTTTTTACTGTTAAACTTTATATTTTAATAAAAGTAAATAAAAAAATTTCAATTATCTAGTTAAATTAATTCTCAGATAATAAAAATCATAGTAATAATATGTATGCAAAATTTGCAAACTGAAGTTGTCACCTGAACATTAATCTTAGCTCAAGGTTTTATTTTTGTATCACCCTACTGCTCTTGAATTCTTAAAAATTAAAGTATATGCAATGTAAATAAAGGATTAACTTTTTTTTTGTACGTATGATCAAAATTATCACTCACCTGTGCAGAAGGGATTGTAGCCAGGCTAGTCTCTTAAGCTAGTTTTCACAATTTTATCACTTTCAACTACTTTTCATTCACCTAAATATACTTTTCCTGAAATAAAATGCTTAATGTTAATTCTTATAAAAATGAAAATTCTAAAAAAGCTCAAGAAATTTAAACTTAAATGAAATTCTGCAATTCTTGAGTAGTTACTAAATTGTCTTTATTTTACTTCTACAAGATGTTGTGTAATCACTGCCTTTTATAAATGTTTAGAATTCTTGTATAACTGCAATCCAAAGAATATACTTACTGGGGACAAATTAATATTTAATCCCAAAGAAAAGAAATCTAGTGTACAAATATTGAGAAAGGTGGGGTTAAAATACTAAAATAATTTTATTGCCAAATATAAAACTTGTTAATGATAATCTTTTTACTCCTTTTTTTTTCTGCAAGCAATCAAACAGGTTGTTGTTTTCAGTTTCTTTTTCAGTAGTCTTTTGTTAGATTTCAATGTTTTCTGAGTTGCTAAAATATTAATTTGCGCACCCTAATTTTAAATACTCTTTTTAATTTCATTTTGACAAGGACTCTAAAAAATAAGCTGTTTTTACAGAATATCCTGACAGTAGGCCTATAAATTATTCAGGAATTTATGGAAGTACAGGCAACAACAAAAAAACTATCCATTTAGAACAACAAAATTTATTCAAGTCACTTTAAAACAATGATTTTATGTATTTCTTAGTTTGACTTCTTATCTTTTGATCCTTAATACCATTTGAATGGTTTGATGCTGTATAATTTTCATGGTTGTAATGCAGAATTCACCATAACTGACCCCGATCAGAAAAATTCAGATTCAGCTCATTTGAAAAGACATATCCTTAAACCAAATAGATTTTTGCATTTGGAATTTCCCAGTCCGAATTCTAGTCAATTTTCTAATGTGACTATGAAACCAATTTGTTCTTCGAAATTATCAACTAATTTGGTAAATAAACTTTAAAAAATATGTGAAGTAAAAGATATTTCAGTAGTTTTATTTTTGTAGACATATTGAAGATAAATGGATTTAGTACACAAAGAAATAAAGCATATTTGAAATATTAGAAAAACAAGGCATACTAAATTGTAATACATTACAGTGGAGCATCGTTTATATGACGATCACTTACACGACGTTTACATTTATACGATGTTTTAGTGTGGTCCCAAATCATTCCTATTCATTTTAATGTATAAAGATATCGTTTATACGACGCACAGAATCGGTTATACGTCGGTTTTTAGATTTTGTTCACATTTAATTTTTTATTTTTTCTTGTGTATTTTAAAAAAGGGCGGAATTTGCCAACATGAATGCATGGGTGCAAGTCTTCCGTCCCCAGGACGGATTTCCGTCTTTCGAAAATGCCCGCGGACTGAAGTAAGACGGAAACAAGACTGACTCAAAGACTGAAATCGGAATTTTTTAAGTTTACGTTATTGGTCAATTTTCTTATGTCCTGTTGTTAATTTATTAAAAGACAGATGAATAAATATTTTTTGTACAGTATTTAAACTTGATGTATTATGGTAAAGCTTTCTTAGATAGTTTGCATATGTTAGGGGGTATTGTGTATGTTAGGTATTTCAGTCAAAAAAATTTCAGTCTTGGCCTTTTTTTCAACTTGCACCCATGCATGAATGATACAGAAAAAGGTGCCAACAAGAATGCTTGGATAACGACCGTAATTTTTACTAGATGTCTGAAAAAACTAGACAATGTTATGAAGAGGCAAAAACTAAACAATTTGCTATTCATCGACCAATGTCCAGCGCACCCAACGATACTAATTATTTTGGAAAATGTAAAAGCTCTCTTTTTTCCTGGAAATTGCGCTTCAGCCATTAGATTTGGCCGTGATTAGAAATCTAAAATTGCATCATAGTTCAACTCGCTATTCAAAGCATTGTAGAGACTAATAGCGAGAAAATATAATTAAAGGTAACATACATTCAAATTGCTCACTGCAATTTTTCTTCTTTGGTTATTTGTTTGTTTTGCTTTGTCTAATTTAGAAATTTATGTAAATCAACATGTTAAACGTTAAAATTAACTGAAAACAGAGTTAGTTTTAGAAGTAAAAATCGATTATACGACGTAATCGTTTATAGGACGTTTTTCGGTGGTCCCATCGGCGTCGTATAAACGATGCTCCACTGTACTTTCCTATAAATCAAATTATTTGTAATATATATGCACATTACACACATCACATAACTCATTAAAATTTTACCATGGCAGGGTTTTTTAAAATACATACAACAAATATATCATTATATCCAATATTTATTTTAAAAGAAATAATATATTTTTAGACAAAGTATGCCCATTTCTACTAAAAGAGTTCTATTTTGGACTGAACCTGTTTCCATCTTTTTTACCGTTACCTCTTAAGAAAAATTTATATATAAAGATGAAGTTTTGACCCCATAATTTATCAAAAAATTATTCATTTAGAAAATGATTTGAAAGACATCTCAAATTAATCACCTACTCACTGTTACACTTATGAACTGGATTGATAAGAATATTTTTTAATTTTAGATAAGTTCAATTTTAAAACATGCTATCACTTAGGTATTGAAACAATAGAAAAATTAAGTCTTATATGCAGAGAAGCAGATTTTTATGTATAAAATTCTTTTATAATATAGTATATAGTCTTATTAATGTCACTTCTCAAAATTAAACATTAACGAAGCTAAATCACACCAAGTAGTTGGAAAAATTTTGTCACCAAGACCTTAAATATTTTAAAAACTAAAGTTTTTGATTAACATGATAAAAAATTACAATTCAACTCGTTTAAAGGGAGAAAGAAAGGACTATTTTGATTCACTTATAAAATCAGGATGGAGGAAGTAGCGGTACTACTTGGTGCTGTCTCCAGGGACTGATTTACAGGAGGGCATTCGGGGCACGTGCCCGGGGCCCCCTTTCCCAATAAATGATCTTTTACATTACATGACCAATACAAAACCTTGTGTAGAGGATCCCTTTGAAAGAATGTTTAGAACAGGGACAACTATCAAATTTCATGAATGGGGTACTTGCATTATTTCATTATTCTATTATATCATTACTATTTACTCCGCACTCACACTAGAGCAAAATAATTTGCTATTGACATTATTTATTACAGTATTATAACAACTTTTAATGCTCTAGTGCAAGGCCATTCTTTTTACAAGACTAAGCTATAAGCTTCTGTTAGTAATTTCTCTGAAGCTTGTTGCATTAGTTAATCATTGTTGTTTATGGTATCTTAAAAATTTTCGAATGTTGATGATTACTTTTATCAGACTTCAATTACTTTTATCAGATTTCGGTACAAATATCTT